TGCCACCAGAGGTTACTGATTTCTGTCACAATTGCTTAGTTTCCATTTTATAGAATTTATATATAAATGGAATTATGCATCCTTTTTTGAGGGGAGAGAGGTCTGATTTCCTTCACTCGATGTAATTATTGACATTTTGTTTGATAATTTTGCATATATCATTAGTTCATTCTTTTTATTATCAAGTATTTTATGAAGATATTCCACAATTTGTTCTCCCATTCACCTGTTAATGGATATTTGAGTTGTTTCCACTTTTTGGCTGTTACAAACAAGCTGCTATGAGCATTCATGTGCAAGTCTTCATATGGAATATGCTTTAATTTATCTTGAGAGTAAATACCTTGGAAAGGAATAACTGATAGGTATATGACTAACTTTTTAAGAAACTGCAAAACTGTTGTTCAAAGCCATTGTATCATTTTACATTCCCACCAGCAATGTATGAGAGTTCATTTGTTCATATATGTTTTTTCTCTGCCTGCTTTTATCACTGGTTTTAGGCAGTTTAATTCATGATATACCTTGGGGGTAGTTTTCTTCATGTATTTGTGCTTGTATTTCATTGAGATTCTTAGATCTGTGGGTTTCTAATTTTCAAGTTTTGAGAATTATTTTGGCCATTACTACTTAAATATTATTTTTCTGTTCTTTGGGGACTGTAATCACCTGTATATTAGGACACTTGAAATCCCAAGTTCACTGATGTTATTCTTTCTTTTTAAAAAATTATTTTTTAAAAATTGATTTCAGAGAGGAAAGAAGAGGGATAGAAACATCAATAATGAGAATCATTGATTGGTTGCCTCCTGCATGCTCCACACTGGGGATTGAGCCCACAACCCTGGCATGTGTCCTTGGCCAGAATCAAACCCAAGACCTTTCAGTCCACAGGCTGACACTCTAATCACTGAGCCAAGCTAGGGCTTATTCTTTCTTTTAAATTATTTCCCTGTGTGTTCATTTTGGATAGTTTCTATTGCTAACTTCCAACTCACTAATCTTTTCTTCTGCAATGTCTAATCTGCCATTAATCCCCTATACCTTGTTGTTGTTTTTTTGCATCTTAGCCATAATAGTTTTCATCTCTAGCATTTCAGTTTAGACCACTTAATATTTTTGATGCCTCTACTTAACTTTCTAAAAATATGCAGTGCAGTTACAACCATTGTTTTAAGGTCTGTGTTGCACATTAGCAGAGTTGATACTGGAATTGGATCTTCCTGAGGAATCAGAGTCATCTGTCCATCATTCAAAAATTGTCCTTAATAGGGAGATTTAAGGGCTTCATTTAGGCTCTTCTTCTACTTCCAAGATTTTATTTATTTTATTATTTTACTGAGAAGATGGTATTACAACTATAGAAAGTACTTCTAAAGAAATAAATTACCATAATTCCAATACTGAAGCAAGTGGCATTTGCTAGTTGCTGCCACTCCAAGCCTGAATTTTTACACTGATGTAGACATTTTATTTATTGTATCATAAATATTGTTCCTTGCTATATGGTCTTCATAATGCTATTTCATAAAGATATGACAGTTTCATCAAGGGATGCACAGTCCCTCCCATTGTTTTGAGGCACAACTTCCTCATGAATATATATATATTTTTTTGCTTCTGTTGATTTATTTCCTTAAGGGTATATTCCCTAAAGTAGCAATTTTTTTTGTCAAAGGATCAGAATGTCTTTGTGGCTTTATTTAGAGCATTTTACAGATATTAATCATTACATCTTTTTTTATATGTTAATTCATATTTCATCGAAATGTAACCATTTGACGATGTGATAGAAAATCTGGTGAAATGTTCCAGACTAGCGCTCCAACAGCTCGTTAATAAATTTATCATCTGACCGTGTAATGCTATTTTAAAAAACATGACTTTCCCTGATTAATTTTTCCTCTGCTCTTGCCATTCTTCCTTCAAAACTTCAAGTCCCCCTCCTTTTCCTCCTCCTCCACACTTGTGGAGGGAATGCTTCCCAAATCTTCATCTTTTCTCAGAAATTCATCCTTTGTTTACTTTTGGAGTCAGGACTTGTTTGCATATGTAAAACCAGGACCATATTGTTCACAGATGCAAGTGGTACTACCAGATAATTAAATATAAAAAGGCGAAGCTTTTAAGTCATTTCTTAAACCTGGACACAAAAGAATATTTTCTTAAAAATTAAAAAAAAAAAAGCACATGGAAATAAAGATTGTGGGATTGGGTTTCTAATTCAAACATTTCCCTCTGTATGCTTAGTAGGGACAGTTACAAATACACAGAAAGTTAGGGGCCTGGAAGGGGGGTAGCGTAGAGGATTTGGAGAGAAAACTTTGCAGATTCACCATCTGATCCAGAAAGACAAAGGCATAAAAGAAGTTAGAATAAATGACAGAACAAAAATTCAATCTCAGTAATTTATGATCCCTCTAGTAGCATTAAACAATAAGGTGTGTTTTTTACCCTTTCATCAATAGTTTCCTGGTCAGCTTTTTATTTTAACATAAGAGTAGATTACACGTATTGTGTTTCTTATCAGTATTTGGTAGAGTCCCCCCCTCCTCTTTAGGGCAGAGGCCCAGGTGAGATCGCAGTTGTTAAAAGCTACTTGTTTTGTTTTGTTTTGTTTTTATCATTAAATGCTTTTGTTTAAGAAAGGGGAGAGGGGATTAGTGTGACTTCTAGTCTACCCAGCAACAGTAAAACAGATGAGAGCTCCACTAACAAATTGGCTTAAACTAGAAGGCTGGATTCTTTCTCCAGGTAAAATTTGAAATCGATAATAGCATCTGCAGAGACAATGGGGAGAAGGTGAGTTCTGAGGTGCCACCCTTGTCCACACGCCCTGGCAGCTTCTGCAGCCTTGGGCTCAGTGAGGGCCCACGTGGCTGTGGTGCCCCAGGGACCAGCGCACCAGTCCAGGTCCCTGCTGCTGCTCATCCCCACCCCCCATGAGAGCCCTGGAGAAGCTTTGGGGGTTGGAGTGGGAGGCATTCTGGGGGGTGGGGGCTGCTGGCAGGTCGCTCCAGCATGGAGCAAGAGTGCATGGCCGGTGGGGAACCGAATTGGGGCTGAGACCTGACCATGTTAACATTTTGGAGGCTTTGTGGGCCAGAGGTGCCGTGAGGATGGAGAGGGTGGATGCATTTAAAGACAGCACTATTCCCTCTGCCTGCCGCAGCACTGCTTTCGCACCCCTCCACCAAGGTGCATGCTCCCCCAAAACTTGGGCTTAGTTCTATCTGTTGTCTGTAGCCCATCTGGAAAATGAGGGTGACTGGAGTCAGGGATAGAGGCTTTGTAGGCAGCTGGAGCTAACCTGGTTATGGGTTGGGTTTTTCTTTTATTATTATTATTATTTTTATTTTTTTTTGGCTCCGGGTCCTGGTGCTGGGCTGCTCCAGCCAGAGACAATACAGGGCTTGGCTGGAGTCCCGTCTTCTGTGAAAATTTCAGGCTTGGCCTCAAGGGCTCAAGACCAGGCTGCCCTTTTCACATCCGACAAAGCAGTGCTTTAAAAATTATATTTTCGTGTTTGAAACTTAAGTACTCCTTCTGCCCGTCATAGTGCATTTTTCACTAAGGTTAACACATTTGGGATTTGCTTTGTTTTGCTTTTAGAGAGACTTTTAAAGTTTTTTGTTTTGTTTTGTTTTTCCTAGAGAAAAGTTAATACTTTGCATATTCTTGTCTCATAACCCCCAAACTAGCTCAAGCCTAGGCTAGTTTGGGGGTTATGCACCAGTTGCTTCACTTTCCTAAATCTAGATTTGGGATTTGCAACTAATTTCTTGTCTTTGTTGTTTTTGTTGCTGTTGTTCCTTGGGTTCCCTCAGTGAGGCAGGAACAATAAATTGGGCCACAGAGGTTACTCCTAGAGTCAGATCAGGCAGTGATGGTGCCAAGCTGTACTGTGAGCTATCATAATAGTAGAGCTGTGACTTCTGACTTGATTTCTGTGGTAATTCTTTTCCCTTCGCCTAAACCGAACACAAGGCTGGGCATCCCCAGAGATCTCTGTTGAATTGTACAGAACCAAATTTTCTACCAGTAGTCAGCAAACTCATCTGTCAACAGAGCCAAATATCAACAGTACAATGATTGAAATTTGTTTTGAGAGCCAAATTTTTTAAAATTTAAACTTCTAGCCGAAACTGGTTTGGTGCAGTGGTAGAGCGTCGGTCTGTGGACTGAAAGGTCCCAGGTTTGATTCTGGTCAGGGGCATGTACGTTGGTTGCGGGCACATCCCCAGTAGGGGGTGTGCAAGAGGCAGCTGGTTGATGTTTCTCTCTCATCGACGTTTCTAGCTCTATCTCTCTCCCTTCCTCTCTGTAAAAAATCAATAAAATATATTAAAAAAAAAAAAAAAAAAAAAGAGTAAACTTCTTCTAATGCCACTTCTTCAAAATAGACTCGCCCAGGCCGTGGTATTTTGTAGAAGAGCCACACTCAAGGGGCCAAAGAGTCGCATGTGGCTCGAGAGCCACAGTTTGCCGACCACTATTCTAGGTCAAGCATCCCCATGGGTAAGAAGGAAGGAAAACTGCCATTCTGGTGGATGGGTTTGGGCCTGGTGAATTGTGTCTGAGCTCAGTGGGCTGGGAGAAACCTAGGGCCTCCAAAGCGGACAGTGTGATCCGAGCACTGAAAGCTGTCGCCAGGACCCTGCCCAGCCTCCCACTTTCACTGGGACCGCACGGTCGTTTTAGCTTTCCTTGATTTGTGTTTGAAAATGTTATAACAAAGCAGAAATGTGCCGCCGCCTTTTCAGGGACTCCCAAGTAATTGCTCGATGTTTATTTTTGTTTCTTCTCTCATTCCAAAGCTGTCTGTAGAATTTAATGACCTATTAAAAATGTTCTCAAAAATTTCCCCATCAATGTTGATCTAGTGGTTGTTTTTTGTTGTTGTTTTTTTATATATACATTGGTTTTTGCTGGTTTTTCTATTTTACCGCTCTCTGTTCTCAAGCTCATCCTCATTCTCCTCCCTTTTCTTCTTGTTTCAGAAGTTGGAGGGACAAGTCAAGCTCCGGACTGTTCGGGAAGCGCCATCGGAATGTGTCTGCCCTCCGGGTAAGTGGACATTTGATCCTCGCTGGCTCCTGACTTCTGTAGGCCTGGCTTCTCTCTGTGTCTGCTCAAAACTGCCGAAGACATGGTCAAGATGATTGCCTTGGGTCTCAAGCTGTATGTTGAACCATCATGGGGCCTTTCTTCCTACCTCTTCCCTGGCAGGCATGTCGTTAGTCAGAACCACAGCATGGTTAACTGTTTTGGTTAGACTGGGATGGTGGTATTGGCGGGGGAGCTGAGAACAATTAGAGATGACTTATAATCAAGGCATAGATGCTGGGACAGTACCAGCCATTACATTCTGAAGATAGAAAAACAGGCACGAACCAGCCACAGGGTATTATCATTGTGATCTTATCTCTATTTCAAACCTTGGGGGGTCTATAGGAGGAGGAGTGTCGTGATAAATAATCTGTCCAAATAGTTTGTGTGCGGGTTTTTGTTTGTTTTCATTTCTTTTGGTGGAGATAGATGAAGGGAGCAGGAAACATGGTCTGAATTATTCAAATAATCATCTCTCTCTTGGGTGTTGGTGGTGTATAGACCAATATGGCTGTGACTAGAACTGGGGTTTGTTGATTCCTAATTCATGTGGCTCGAATCCTGATTCATATCAGGTCTTCCTGGTTGTCCTCCTGGGAGCTTTACACAGAAGATGATTGAGAATTTAGGTGTGTAGTTGCAGCCCTGGCATTTTTAGGGTTAGCATTAACCTCTCGCAGGATGGTGTGTAAAGCAGTGAATGAGTGGAGAATCATAATACTTCCCAGGTTTCTCTCCATGTTGACGAAGTAACAGAACATGGATCACAGCAGCTGAGCCAGTGGCCCTTAACCTTATTGTCACGCCTTCCATTAGCCAAGTTGCATGGCATTTCCAACCTCCTTCACTGATAATCAACATCTCGAGGTTGCCTGCAAGGGTGGACCTCCTCATGTGAAAACTCAGTCTCTGGGGGCCCAGCAGGAGAGGACCTGATAGTCCAGCTTGAGCTAGCTTTTAGTAGTAGGACCTCCCCAAGGTTTTGATAGGAGGAAAGGATATGACACGTAATGACATCACTCTTTATTCAGTAAGTCAGAAGTTGTGTTTCAATGGGTAAAAAAAAAAAAAAAAAATCCAGATGCATAAATAATATTGGGATAATCTGCACAATGTATAAAATAGGAATGATTCCACACACACACACTTTTTCTGAGTGTTGAGGATGTTTTTTAAACTGGGAGGCACAATGCATTCATAAGATATGAAATCAGTTCCTGGGCTACAGCAGTGTTTTGAAATGTTGAACTAGCATAGACTTGAATAAAAACTATTGGAGTGAAGTTTTTGTTTCAGCTATTTCTATTTGTAGGCATGACCTGGATGGTGAAGTGAACTGGGTTTCATGCTGTGGGGCTGCTGACAGGAAGCTTGAAAGTCCCAAATACATATGACAGATGAACTGGGAGGAGGAGGCAGGGATGGGGCACCGAGCTCCCAAATAAATTCAAGGCAGGTCCAATCCTTGGTCTTCCACTTATTAATTATAAGGATCCTCACTGAAAATGATGGCGATATTGGAGTGGACTCTGTAGGCTTTTTAAGGTCATAGAGAAAATATAGGTCAAAGCCCATGACCCCGAGGCAATCTTCTGTCCTGTTTTTCCTTGGGGGACCCAAGAGGATCTCAGGGAAAACTATAGAGGCTAAGGGCTGGTCAAAGCCTCCAGTTCCCGCTGATAAAAGGACAATGACCTTCCCTGCTCTCTGGGAGGGGCCCTGCTGGCAGTCAGCACGGTGCTGCTGTCTGTTGTCGAGGGCTCGTGGCTGCCATCAAGCCATCCTGGCAGCTGTGGTCCGTGCGGCCAGGCCCCGATGCACACTCATGCACACTATCCTTTCTCTCCTGTCGCTTTCAGCTGGGAGGAGACTCACTTGAGCCCTTTGGACCAGAGCCCTACATTGATGCAAAACCCCGGGGGCTGGCACATTCTTCAACAGAGGCCTTTTCTCCAACACCAGAAGCCTTAACTCGTCCCCTTTCTCTCTGGCTCTGATCTGCCCTGCAGACGTTGGGACTCCAGACACACAGACCACCCTGCATAGCTTGGGTCCCATCTGATCTTAGATACCCACAGAGCCCCCTTGGCCTGGCTCCTTCCCACGCCTGGAGGACAGTGTAATCTTTTGTCAGATCCTAGGATGAGGCAGACTGATAATCGAGGCCAGAGAAGGGGGCGGCTCTTCTGTGTGTGCTGCCCATTGTGAAGCGACACTCTGGGGGAGCCATGAGGCTGAGAGGAGGGGCCGGCTGCTGCTCCTGCCTGACTCTGTGGAGGGGGACTGGCAGGGGCTGGGCCCTGAAGAAGTCCTGTGATCTTGGACGCGTGAGAGGCCCTCAAGCCTTGCACCCCTCATCTACAAAATGGGGCAGTGGGTTGAATTGTGTTCCCCTAAAAGGGATGTCCCTGTCCTAACCCCCATACTTATAAATGTGACCTTATTTCAGGGATGGGAATCTCTTTTCTGCCAAGGGCCACTTAGATATTTATAACCTCATTTGCAGGCCATACGAAATTACCAAGTTAAAAAATTAGCCTGCTATATTTGGTCAAACATTTAATGAACTCACCCCTACAGCCTTGGCAGGGCCAGACCAAATGATTTCGAGGACCTTTTCAAAGACCTTTGAAGGCTCCCCACCTCTGCCTTATTTGGAAATAGGGTCTTTGGAGATATAATTAAGTCAAGGATATCAAGACGAGATCATCCAGGATTTAGGGTGGGCCTTAAGTCCAATGACGATTGTCCTTGTAAGATACCAGAGGGAGAGATTTGGGGCACAGAGACACAGGGGGGAAGGCCCTGGGAGGGTGGAGGCAAGATCAGACAAGGCAGGCCCGTGGAAGGTGGAGGGGTGTGTGTGTGTGTGTGGGGGGGGGGGTCCCTCCCTCAGAGCCTCCAGAAAGTACCCATCCTGCTGATGCATCGATTTTGGGTTTCTGGCCTTCAGAACTGGAGATGAGACATTTCCATCATCTTAAACCACCCAGTTAGAGGTAATTGGTTGCAGCAGCCTTAGGAAATGAAAATAAAGGGGAATGATAATCGCCCTGGGGACCTTACAAAGTTTCTGAGAGGATTGAAATGGGAGGGACAGCGTGTGGCTCAGGTGTGAGCATGAATGAGATGCGCGTGCGGCTGCGCCCTGCGAGGCGGCTGGGGCTGCTTGTTCTCACAGCTGCCCCTGAACTCCTCTCTGCCTCCCACAGGCACTCCCAGGCTTTAGACCCTGCAACTGAGCCAGGTCCCTTCCGTAGTCCAGCACCTTCTTATGTTACCTGTGCATTTAAATGCTTAAAAATGTTTGAAGCTTTAAAATGTTTAACTTTCAGTAGGAAATAGTATACGACGTGTTAAAAAAAAAAAATGTCAAGGACTACCAAAGATTACATGTGAAAAATACCCTCCTCCCCAAGGCCATTCTCCTGCTCCCTGCCCAGGGCTGTTACCAGTTGGCTGAAGTCTTCCAGAGCAGCACTGGCTGATGGGACTTTGTGAAATGATAGAAATGCACATCGTCCCGTCGTCCAGTTGGCGGCCTCACTTAGCTGCTCATGGATATCAAGCCCTTGAAGCTGACAAACTGAATTTTTATTTAATTCTTATTAATCTTAGTTTAAATCACCACATGTGGCTAGTGGCTATGGTAAGACAGCCTGGTTTTTTGAGCGTTAATGGACATTTCAGCCAGTAGCTTCCTTGCTGTTTTTAAACAAACACTATCAGAGGTGGTTGTCCCTGTGTTGCTTTTTTCGGTTTGCAATTTCTCTTTGAGATGGTTTGACTCAGTCCAATACCGGAGAGCAGGTGCCTCCTTGTTTGGGTTAAACGATGGAATCCTGTCTGGTTGTCGGGCTGTCCTCTGAGGAATGTGACCAGACCCCACAGGTATGCTGGTTTGGTTCTTGTCCTATGTTATTAAAGACCGTCCTCTGGGGACATTGTGGAAGGATGGAGGGCTGCTGCTCGCCCTGTCCTCTGCTTCCCATGCTTTGTCCTGAAGCCCATCACAAGCCAGGCATGCTGCAGGGCCGGGTGAACTGGGCTGGAGGACAGGAGCCCATAGTATGTTGGGGAAAGTGGCCCTCAGAGCAATAATCCTGAAACCTTACAGGAGGAGCCTGATCTGTGGGAGACTCAGGCAGCACCCCACTTCACTGTGCTCTGAAGTTCCAAAGGACGGCTCAGGGCTGGCACCTCGGAGCCTGAATCCACGTGAGCCATGTGTCCCATCCTGCACATCCTGGAGATGTGGGCCCCTCTGGTGTAAAAGGTGGTTGCATTAACTAACTCATTTATTAGAAACCTCGGAACACTGACTAACGTTCTGACCATGCTACATTAATAAATCAAAAAAGGGGAAATTATTAACTCCTGTAACTGGAAATGAAAAGGTCAGAGGCAGAGCCGGAATCAGGTGTGCCAGGCTCAGGGCCTCTCCCTCCACCACTGAGCTCTTCTCTGTCATTTTCAGACAGTTTCTCCTCGGGGCCTGACGGTGGCCCCAAACAACTCCACAGGCAGATCACTCCTTCTCAGCAACCCCAACAGACAGAGCCTCTGCTTCTCAAAAGTCCCAGCAGCAGGGAATGGAGAAGTGTTCTGGGCTGACTTGTGTCCTCAAAATTCACATGTTGAATTCCTAGCCCCCAGTACCTCAGAAAGTGGCTGTATTCGGAAATATAGTCTTTAAAGAGGTAATTGAGTTAGAATGAGGTCATTAAAGTAGGCCCCAATGCAATATGACTGGTGTCCTTATATGATAAGAAGAGGAGATTAGGACACAGAGGAAGACCAGCCCAGGGGAGAGGCCTCAGAAGAAACCTGCCCTGCCAACACTTTGATCTTGGACTTCCAGTCTCCAGAACTATGAAAAAATACATTTCTCTTATTGAAGCCACCAGACTATGGTTCTTTGTTGAGGCAGCTCTAGCTAAGTAACTCAGGGGGCTATT